TTGTTACCATGCCTGGCTACGTGTCATACAGTTCTCAGCTTCAGTGTTGGTAGTCATTGAGGCCTGACTGCTCAGAATTATCTCTTTTCTCATTTACTATGAACCTTATCACCCTGATTTATTCTGTTTATTGCACTTAAACCACTATTTAAAAAATATATATTTTTTGCTTACATATTTATTGTCTGTTTCTACCATTAGAATTGCTAACTTATTATCTTTTCAGAAAGTTTTTCCATTTCTTTTGTGGATTTGACAAAGTTAGTTGGTACATAATATATATTTTATTATTTTGTAATTTCTGTTATTTGAAATATTGCATAATTTTCATAGAAAGAATTAAAGGTTTTATACCTGTAGTTTTCAATGTCTTTTTTAGTATTTCTTCTCATATTATAGTTGTCTGTCTCTCCCCCATATTTTCTCCATCCTAGATAGGAACAAAAGGACTTGTTTCTTATTCATCTTTGTATCCCCAATTGTTGACACTGAAGGAGTATTTAGTAAATGTCCATTAAAATGAGAGTTAATTTTAGGGGAAGTGTGGATGTGTAAACTGATGGAGAGGGAGTATATATAGCATAAGGCTTATGAACAAAGAATTTTGTTCTCTATCACGTATTAACTGGTGTGATCGTGGTCAAGTGACTTATTTTCTGTGTCCTAGTTTTCATATCTGAAAAAATGTCATAATACATAGTACCTACCTCATAGGTTTGTTGTAAAGATTAAATGAGCTAATATGTAAAACACTTAGGATAGTATCTGACACTTAAATGCTAGAAAAACTAGGTGTTATTAATTCTTCAGAATTTTGAGAAAATTAGGTTTTGAGAACTTTTTTTGTTACTTAAACTAGAGAGTGCACATAACATCTGGACTTCCTGGATAATCAGATAAAAACAATCTAAGCTAGGAATGAACTATTTCAGGATACTTGATCAGAATTGAGGTAAAACTACCCCCCTGGACTTAAGAAGTCAGCCTATGTAATCTCTGGTTTTCCTAAGCTGCCTCTCTGTATAGATTTGTATTTAAATATTTGCAGCCACTTCTTATATTCAAGTTTCTGCTCCTGAATCTTCAAACTTATTTGCAATTGCACTTACCTTTCATCTTTCTTGTTTAAAAATATATATGGAGAGAAGCATTTTTACTGTTGTTAAAGCCTGTGTTCCTAATTCCTTAGTCAACGATCACAGGTTTTAGACCTCCCATAGATAGGCACGAGGGACACTAGAAGAACAAGACAGATGGTCCCAACCCTCCTGAGCTCATGTACCAGTGGGCAAGACAGATGATTTAAAATGCAACTCTAATAAATACAGTGTGGTACATACTACTGAAGGTGTATAGTGTGCTGCAGTAGGAGCATAAATGCTTTTGAAACCATGGGAGGATGAAATGCCCAAGGGCTGTAGAAATTAAGACAAGAGAATCCTGAGGAAAATCAACATTAAAAGATTGTGGAGAATGAAAAGTTGTTGGTGAAGAGGTAGAAGGGAAACAAGGAGAGTCTGGTGTCACAGAAGCTGAACAGAGAAGTGCATCTCAGGACAGAGTTAGTGATCAAGAGATACTGCTAAGCAGCCAGGTAAGGCCCTTTTCCTTCTTTCCTTTTCTAATATTTGGCTCTATAAATTATTTCTTCTAAATTCCATGTATTCCTTGTTATTATCTGTTCAGTTCCTGAACTCACACAATGAGTGTGTGTATAATGAGTTTGGTAGGTGTGGGATATTGCATCCTCTGAATTAATTGTGTTTCTGAGTGTCAAATTAGCACAAGTTCGGATAATAAGGGATTTGTCTCATTTATGTCTGCATCTGTTTGCGCCTCATGTTGGGATGGGGAAAGTTGGGGTAACTAAGGGTACTTTGGTCTCCTTTTATCTTTGTCCAGTGAAACTTGTTCAAATCCACTTAACAAAATTCCTTGAATTCAGATTTCCTTTACTTTTCTAGGAGTTGTTTTAACTCCCTGCTGCCAACTTTGGACTTCCCTTTCAGTGCTAAATCCCCTCAAATTTGATTTCTTCCCTTCTGATGAAATGGAATTTAAACTTGTAAAGCTAGTTATAAGGCTTTTTATTGCTAGTCCAGTGGATTTTGAAGTTGTTATCTCAACTTCTAGGCAGTTTTTGACATTGTTGTTCCCTTCATCCTTCTTAGAATGTTTGTCTTTTGTGAGGCACCATATTCTTTGGTTTTCTTCCAGTTTCTTTGGCCACTCCTTAGTTTATTTCCTAGTTTTTCTTCTCTGACTTGTAAACATTGGTATGTTGGTTCTGTAGCATGGGCTCTAGTCAGTCATTCTGCGTATTTTCTGGGTGACCTCATTCATTACAGTGGCATTGATTAACCTATTTAAAGGTTTTTGGACAACAAGTAAGCCATAAAACACTGAAGTAAATCTATAAAGATTCATGTTTTTATCTGTACATTTTATTTTTCAACGTATTTTTATTGATTTCAGAGAGGAAGAGAGGGAGAGAAACATCAATGATGATAGAGAATCACTGATTGGCTGCCTCCTGCACAGCCCACATTGGGGGCTGAGCACGCAACCTGGGCATGTGCCCTGACCTGAATCGAACTGTGACCTCCTGGTTTATAGGTACAGGCTCAATCACTGAGCCATGCCGGCTGGGCTGAGCAGTTATTCACATTATGAAAGTAGTTTCTAAAAATTGTGTTTATGTGGTTCCGTAAACAGATACCGTGGAATATTTTGTTTGATATACACTGCCCTCCTGTGGTTAAGTTAAGCTAAATGTTTTCATAAAACTACTAGTATTTTCATTTATATTAAACTTGTGATAAAAAAAAAATATTGCAATGCACTGATAATATTGTAATAATAATGTAATAGAATACTATATTTTTGCTCAGAAATATATGTAGCCATGTTGTTTTTCTCTCTAGTTTTTTCTCTTTGGTTTCTCTAGTGTGTGTCTACATTTTTCTCATTCTATGTCTTTGCACATTTTCCTATTAAAAATAAGTAAATTAAAAGAGTCAAATGAAAACGTGAAAAATACTAAGCTATTGGAAGGTTCATTTAAATGTAGACATGTTAGAACAAAAAGAGCCCTAGCTGGTGTGGCTCAGGTGGTTGGGTGTTGTCCTGTGCACCAGGGGTTGCCTGTTTGATTCCTAGTCACGAGCACATGCCTATGTTGCTGGTAGGGAGTATGCAGGATACAGCCACATGATGTTGTGCTCTCACGTTAGATATTTCTCTCCCTTTCTAAAAGTCAATATATTATTCTTTTTTAAATTAAGTAATATGTCTCGCCTGGCTAGCTCAGTCGGTAGAGCACGAGACTCTTAAATTAAGTAATAAGTTTTTATTGATTTCATAGAAGAATGAAGAGTGAGAGTGAGATAGAAACATTAGTGATGAGAGAGAATCATTGATCAGCTGCCTCCTGCGTGCCCCACACTGGTGATTGAACCTGCAGCCCAGGCAAGTGCTCTGACCAGGAATTGAACTGTGACCTTCTGGTTCATGCATCGATGCTTAACCACTGCGCCATGCCAGCTGGAAAATAAATTATTCTTTAAAGAAAAAAGACCCAATCAGTTATAATACATGAAATTAATAGAAATCTTGGTGAAAAACAACAGAAATGAAAAGATGAAAAATAAACTGGAAAAACATTTGCTGTAAATGTGATAGTATAAGTTTTAAGAAATTTAGTATGAAAAAAGAACTATTGACAAAGGCAAAAGCATACAGTAGAGTAGAAATAGTCTCTTCAATAAATGGTATTTGAAAACCTGGACACGTACATACCGTTTGGGTCTGTTCTGCATATGCGCCTCCTAGTGGCTATTTTGAGAACCAGGTAAGTACCGTAGTATGTTGAGGTAGTATGTTGAGGTTTGGAGTCACATAAGCATAGTTTGGGGTGACCTCAGGGGTTTTTGTAGAACTTGATGGTATCTCTTTCTCTTTCTTTTGCACTTTCTGATTTCTAGAGACCCTTCTCCCTTGTCCTGTCACTGGATAACTGGAGTTGTCATTCTTGTTTTGTTACATACTTCCACAATCACATCTGCCTTCTATGCTAATCAGCAAGATGGCAGAGAAGGAATATAAGCCATGAGGATTCTCTTCACACTCGTGGGACCTTTCTTAGAGATTTAGGTCCTGGTCTGTCCATTGCTGCTGTCATCACTCCACAACTGCTGCCTTCAGATTGCCTGGAGACAGGGGCCAAGAGAAAGGGAAAACAAAACAAAATCCTAGAGGGTCCTCCTTCGCTCTTCAGACCAAAAAGGAAAAGTCTTCTTTTGAAATCATTTCTGTCTGCACTTAGAGTGCAGTTTTGAGTTTGGACTGCCATTGAGTCCAGGCTAAGTAGTCCCAAGGTACTTCTAGTTGTTGTTTCCTCCCTCAAGCCAACTGCTACCATTTTCAGAGTCCTCAGATAGCTGCTCCATGTATTCTGTTTAGGTTTCTAGTTGTATGTATTCATTGGGAGAGATAGAATAAACTGGGCTTATTCTGTTTTCATTAGAATCAGAACACAGGTACCATTTTAATTTTATTATAACTGTATTAATTTGTTTTGGTTATGCATTTTTGAGAATCCATGCTGTATTAGGCTTTGCTGGAATGTGAAGATGGAAAATCTTTAAGGTGCTTATAGTAGGTACACAGGTAGGCCTGTGATGTAGGGGTAGAGACAGAAAGTAAACATTTAATATTATGAATTAATAATTAATAATTGAGTTATTAATTATACCCCTTTTATCTATTTCTGCTTAGGTTTGACTTGTTTGTGACTAAAGGAGAGAAGATCCTATTTATATTTCATTAATATTCCATTTTTCTTATCTCAAAATAAAAGGGATGAAAAATCTCTGGATATGTATGTGCTGGATGAAATTAATACATAATTTTAATAAGTATAAGGAATATACTTAAATATATAATAAGAATAAGAACTTACAATAAGAAAAATAATTTATTATTATATACTTGTTTCTCAGGTCTTAGAAAAATACCCCAATACACCCATGAGTCATAAAGAAATTCTTCAAGTTATCCAGAGAGAAGGACTAAAGGAAATCAGGTGAGTTATTTAAATATCATTAGTAACAATTACAGTCCATGATTAGAGTATTTTATAATATATAACAGTGTATTTCAATCCTGAAGATTATTTAGTGATAACTACATTGTTAATTTCTTATTTATTCAGTTGTCAGATCTTTGGTATTTTTAATTATTGCACAGTTATAAAACCAAAAGTAAGTTTTAATAAATTCTTAGAAGGTAACTGTCTCTACACCCATGCACTTTAATTCTTATGCGGCCTAGAGCCATCTTCAAGCCTTCATCTATCAATTCAGGCTTTTGATTTAATAAGTTCAGTCATCAGCTTATAAAAAGTACTCTAGTGCAAAGAGAGTACTAGAGGTAGACAGTCTAGGAAGAAATAACTTTGGCTACAAAGCACACAATGGAATAGATAAATACAAGGAGTATATATTTCATATATTAGTCTTACTTTCAAATATAGCAGCCTGGGATAAATTAATATAGGGGTGAAGGTAAACATATTTTAATTTATAAGAGCCTTATTATATTAAAACTAGAGGCCCGGTGCACAAAATTTGTGCATGGGTGGAGTCCCTCTGCCTGGCTGGTGATTGGGGCCAATCAGGGCCAGTGGCCAGGGAGGGGCCTTGTGAGGGTTTCAGGGCATGTCTGGCCCCATCTCGCCCTTTCCCGATTGGCCAGACCCCAATAGCAAGCTAACCTACTGGTTGGGAGCATCTGCCCCTGTTGGTCAGTGCACGTCATAGTGACCAATTGGTCCACTGCATGTTAGACTTTTATATATATAGATTTTTAACTCACAACGTGGAATGCTTGGTATGCACTTTTCCTCCAGCCCCTGGCCTTGGAGACATCATGTCCTTCTTAGGCTCTGCCCACCCTCTTCAGATGCCACACAAAATAAATTGCATCATGTGTGTGGAAACCCTTTGTAGGCTCCACGGGTGTGTCTTTACTTCGCTGCAGTTCTGATGACCCCAACATAAGGAGAGACACTCTCATTATCAGGTAACACCATCATGGTGAGACTCCTGCTCAGCCTGCTGCAGCAGTTTTAAATAGGCCATCGATCACCCTAAATGGTTTGGTTCGGTGGATAGAGCCCTGGCCTTTGGACTGAAGGGTCCTGGGTTCGATTCCAATCAAGGGCACATTCCTGCGTTGCGGGCTCAATCCCCAGTAGGGGGCATACGAGAGGCAGCAGCGGATCAATTCTCTCTCATCATTGATGTTTCTGTCTCTCCTTCTGTCTTCCTCTCTGAAATCAATAAAAATATATATTAAAAAAAAAAAGAAATAAATAGGCCATGAATTAAACGTCACTGCTGTATGTTCAACATACTTTGTAGGTTAAGGCGGAAATCTGGGAGTTTGAGATATTTTCATTGAGAAAAGCTTGTGCTTTAAAACTGCTACTAGTTGTTCTCAATGGAAGACCATATTGTTTAGGGAAAGTGTTCAGAATTTTGGGGAGCTATTTTTTTTTGCGGCCGGGCGGGGGGTGGGGGGCTATTTTTTGATTACCACAATGACTAGAAAGTAACAGGGTGCTAAATGTCTTCCTTTGAAAAATTGTTCACCTCAAGTGCCAGTAATATTTCTATTGAGAGATAGTGAGTTATGCTGATACACTTGTAAATAAACAAGAAAGTATTGTAGATTTTCATTCTCATTCTTTTTTCTTTACCATGAAATTCAATTTGAGTTCTTTTTTATTGCTTTTCTTTGCTAATGCAGTTAAAAACTTTTGATTTGTGGCCAAATGTCAGTAGGTTGGGAATAAATTAAGTTTGCTTTATTAATATAAAAGATGAAGTGTAAATTAGTAAAACTTGCTTTATATAATGTATGCCCCTGAAAAATTGTGTGAACATTTGTAAATTAAAATGTATCTGAAATATGTTAGCTCTTAAACATAGTTTTTGTAAATTATTTTAAGATGTATCAATGATATATTCCAAGTTATTATTGTTGTTTGAATTAGTCATATTTATTAGATTAAAATTAAAGCACAATACCCACTTTATCACACATCAGTTTGTATAAGGCTGTAGGAGAAGAGGACAAGTGATTATTGTGACTAAGGAATGAATTAAGCTAAGGTATTCTAATATCCATTTATAACACTATTGGGTCTTATAGAATGGGAATGAGCTAGGGATTTCATTCTTTATTTATTTAAAAAATATATATTTTATTGATTTTTCACAGAGAGGAAGAGAGAGGAACAAAGAGCCAGAAACATCGATGAGAGAGAAACATCGACCAGCTGCCTCCTGCACACCCCCCACCAGGGATGTGCCTGCAACCAATGTACATGCCCCTGACCGGAATCGAACCTGGGACCCTTCAGTCCGCAGGCTGACGCTCTATCCATTGAGCCAAACTGGTTTGGGTATCATTCTTTTCATAAAATTAGACTTGATACACACTGGGGAAATCAGTCAGGAAATCTGGTATGTAGAGATCAGACTTTACCAGTCCTTTAGGTCAAAATGCCAATTGCAGGTTCACCCAGCTCTAACATAGTAAGGCTCTGTGACTTTAACCCTTTGCACTCTGCTGTCCCCTCTCAGGGGACATTGGAATTCTAGCATATCACTCGGATGTCCCCTCTCAGGGGACATTGCAGTTTATTAGTGATTACGGGGAATTGAGTTAATTCAACGCACGTGTCCGCCGCAAAGTAGCGTCGAGTAGCTGGTAGCCAATGTCCAGGATGGTTCGGAGTGCAAAGGGTTAAACTTGTCATTATCATTTCTAGGGAGTAGGCAAGAACAGTAAATAAATAAAGAATGTAAATTAAAAAAAGAACAGAAGGAAGAACTTATGCTGGTGCAGTTATGTGACCACAACCCAGTTCTTTCTCCAACTCCATGGGACTTTTAGTTCTCACCTCTCTTGTCAGCATTACTTATCACAGCTGATGTCTACTTTTTTCTGGAAACGGTTTTGTTGCCTGAAGTGACCACAACATTCCTGTTTACCTTCCTCTATTAAGTTTTTCTTCTCTTTTTTTCTCATTTTCTCCAACTTATGTGTACTTTCATCCATTCTCATAGCTTTAAATGCCAGTTTTGGCTTGTCAGTTCCCAAATATGTAGGGCATTTGCTGCCCACTGCAGCCTTGATACACGCTGATGCTTTAGCATGGAATGTGCTTTCCCTCACTTAACTCTCTTACTTATTTTTCAGGTGTCAGTTTGAATGTCTTCAGAAAACTTGGACTTTCTGGTCTAGATTACATTTTCCTTTTTTAGTTTATTATAGTGTTCTGTGTTGTTTCTTCATGGCACTTAAAGTTTAAAATTACATATTTTTGTAATATTAAAAACATCATGTAGCTTCTCTATAGTTTAAGCTAGCTCCATTAGGGTAGTAACAGTGTTTGCTTTTCCCATCCCACTCTGCCCTTACCCACTCCTCCCCCCATAGTCCTTGGCATATAACTGATATTGAAAACCTACGAAATATAAGTTGGAAGATCATGTTCAAATGTAGTTATAACTTATTCTCGTTGCTGTGATATGTCAAATGATAGTTTTATAATCTTTAAAATTTTTAGATGGGTTATAGAATGAAATGTATACTGTGCTTATTGAAGATGTGCTATTTTTTTTTTTTACAGTTTTATTTTTATTTCTCAGTCCTCAATACATGCATTTCAACTCTTTTTCCCTTTGTAGTTTTTTGTCTGCTTGCCCATTTTGAAGAATCTTGCTTAATTTGTTTCTGATGTTGGTGACTAAATAGTTCCTGGTGTTACAGAATTTAAAAATTGTTTTTCTTTTGTGATAAGATACTTTGACTTACATTACAGCCTAAGTTTATAAGTCAGGTACTGAAAACAGTTTTTTAAATATAAAGGTTTGCTTTTGGAAAATTCCAAACTAAAAAGTGTGCACATTGTCCAGTATAAATTACAAACAGTCCTTCCAACATTCCAGTATGTATCTAACAGTTAAGAACTCAAGAGACTATTTGTGTGCAATTTGGATATTCTGTATTGTTATCAGAAAAGAGCAACTAAATATAGACAGTAAGCATACATAATATTGATAACACATATACACAGAATAGTGCATAGATCAAAGTGCTTATGTATACTTCAGGACTGTTCCTGCTTACCATTTACTGGTCTCAACAACTCATTACTGCTTAGTCTGTTGTAAACCAGGTTTCTTCCCTCCATCAGCTGTGGCTGCCATTAATGTTTATAAATTTGTTTTTACAGCATTAAGTGTGTGGGACTGTAAGGCTTCCTTCTGAAGTAGTCATTGCTTTTAATGCTTCTCCCAATGAAGTCTTTTTAACTTGCTTTGCTCATCCTATTAGCTATACACTGAGTGGCCAGATTATTATGATCTCTGAACGAATAATAATCTAGCCATTCAGTACGTGTGCACACACGCGTGCACACACACATGTATTAGAGGCTCAGTGCATGAATCTGTGCATGGGTGGGGTCTGGCCAGCCTAGCCAGGGAGAGGGGACAGGGGTGGTTGCCCGGCCTTCCTGCCTGGTCAAACTCCTAGTCGAGGGGACAATTTGCATATTAGCCTTTTGTTATATAGGATATACACTGAGTGGCCAGATTATTATGCGTTCAGAGATCCTAATAATCTGACCACTCAGTGTATAGTCTTGGTCCTTATTATTAACACCTAACAGATAAGAGTTTTGAGGAAAGAAGCGAAAGAAGAGTATTCATTTCCCGAGATCCTATTCTCTTATTAGTTTTTCTTATCTTTCATGAATAGAAGAGGAAAATGAAATTAGGAAGATTCTTAGTTTTCATGAATTCATCATCTGAAGATTGAGTATTTTTTGAATTAGACCATTCATCAGTGGTCCCCGGGGTTCATGACACATAATAGTAATTTTGGTGAGTCATGAATTTGAATCTTTTACACCATAAGATTGGTGAGGAACAGTAAATTATGTAGTTAATGAGTGTAGCCAACTGCCTAGCTTTTATTTTATTTTAATTTTTTTGTTAATTCTCACCCAAAGGAAATTTTTTTCTCATTGATCTTTAGAGAGAGTGAGAGGGAGAGAGGAAAGATGGGGTAGAGAAAGAGAGGGAGAGAGAAAAAAACATGAATTGGTTGCTTCCTGCATGTGCCCCTACAAGGACTGGGGACCAACCTGCAACAAGATACATGTCCTTGACTGGGAATGGAAGGGTTATACTCTAACCACTGAGAACATT